GTTAAACAGAATCGAAAATGGAATCGGAATCGTGAAAATCTTATCAATACCCATCCCTACCTCCTGATAATAAAGCTCACTCGCATCAAAGACAGTGCCTGCATCTTGGGTCCTTCTCTTAACTCCATAGCTGCTTAATGAACAGTTCAAAGACATACAGTTTTACACGCACAGTATACTTTTAGACTAGATCTTTACGGTCCTTTTTACTGACAGTTCAACACAACAGTTAATGTGTTATTCAAATTGCACCACACTACCAAAACACTTCTAGTTTAACTCAGGATCAACTCTTGGACAAGAACAGTACAGGACATATTTGGTCTTCAAACAAGGAAACGTCACTGAGAATACATTTAGTTAAAAAGAAAGAAAGAAAGAAAGGTAGCACAGGTAGCATCATAACATGTCTATTAATATGTTTTTTGGTTGTTGTTTTCTTTTTTCAAATAAAGATCCCATCAAAGCAAAATGTTACATTTTATTTTATGACAGTTGTGAATATATTGATTAAAAGTGTGCAAAATGATGCAGTAGAGCAATACAACTGTACAACTGCAGATATCTTTTGTATATACTGTACATCTGAAGTTGAAAAGTGTTCCCCTTTGAATGTGATCACAAATTCTTCTCAACATTGCATCTGGTCTAATATATGAATCAGAAAAATAAAAATAAAACTTTTTTCTGTCTGATCCATCTTGGGAAAGTTTAGCACCTACCATTACATCATCAAGTATTTTGTACTCTCGCCCACCAATGTCTAAACTCCAGGTGGTCCTGATCTAATCCCTATCAACACTGGGATACCGTTCCGCCAAGACGCGCCATCAGAGTCTAACCACTAAATACCTCTATTTAAATTCTGTACATCATGTTCATTTCATTTTAATGATTTCTCCTTATATGTATATATATATATATATATATGTGTGTGTGTGTGTGTGTGTGTGTGTGTGTGTAGAGAGAGAGAGAGAGAGGCAGCCCATCCAATCCAACACACATAATGTTATGTGTAATGATGACAAATAACTAAGGCAAAAAAAATTCAACACAGGAAGGACGAGAGGTGCAAGCAAAAAAAGCATGGAATTTCATGACACCAGCTGAAATCTATCAGTAATTAGAAAGCAATACACCCACTTAGTACAAATTAAGTTTAGCTGGTTCAGTCCAAACATATAGTCTGTTAAAAGCTTTCTCATTACCACTGTCACACAAGAAGCATCATGGGTAAACATGTTGAGTAAACATGGTGAGCGCTCTCACAACCCTCGCAACCCTATTATTGCGAGAAAAAAAAACGTACATAGCATACAAACAATGGTTACAGAAGAATTTCTAAACTACTGAAGGTTAATGAACATTGTTGGGGCCATAATTCGGAAGTGGAAAGGACATCATTTCACCATAAACCAGCCATGGCCAAGTGCTCCCTGCAAGATTTCAGAGATCGAGTGAAATAAATTATCAAAAGATTTGTCAAAAAGCCAAAAGCCACTGGTGGAGAGCTACAGAAAGACCTGGAAGCAGGAGGTACAATGATTTCAAAGAAAACTATAAGTAATGCACTCAACTGCCATGGCCTGTGTGCACATTCACCACTCAAGACTATTGCTAATGAAAAAGCATGTTGAAGCGTTTTCAAATTTTAAGGAACAACCTTTAGTTTAAAAAAAAAGCCTGTGAAATACACTTGTGTATAATCTGGCCAGATGAGACAAAAATTTTACTTTTTGGATCCCATACTACAAACATTGTTTGGAGGTGAGGCTCTTTTTCAGAGCGTCACTGGCATTCTTCATATGACTGAAAGAAGTCTAAATAGAAAAATGTATGGAGACATTCTAGATAAAAATCTGCTGCCATGGACCAGGATGATGAAGATGAAATAAGGGGGGTCCTTTCAGCAATACATTGATCCCAAATACACAGCCAAGGAAACTCTCAGTGGGTTTCTGAAAAAGAAAATAAATCTGCTAGAATAGCCCAGCCAATCACCTGACCTGAATCCATCTTAAAATCAGTGGAAAGAAGCGAAGTTCAAAGTTCATCAAAGAGGCCCGCAGAACTTCAGAATTTGAAGAGTGTTTGTGTGGAACAACAGGCCACACAAGACACCTCAAAGCTGTCATTACCAACAAAGTTGGTAATATTTTTGTTGAAGTATTAAATAGATTTCATTAAGTGTATTCAATACGGCTGTGTCAGATAATTCATTCCTCTGTGAGGCATAGGCCAACATGCAATTAGTCACTTTCACTTTTCACAATAAATGCTCTCAATGTGCCAACAGCTGAGATAAGACACGAGACTTGAGTAGAAATCACACAACACAGTACAGTGGGACATGTTAACGTGTGTCTGTGATGTGGTAGGAAAAATATCGATGCTTGCTTTAAATGTTTGCTTTAAATCTTCATATGTACATTTTTTTTATTTGTTATATTTATTTTTTGTCGGGGGTGTTTGTTTTAATTTCAACCTAGTTTCTCACTCTACACAAACACTGGGATTTCAGTAGCTGTTTTAAGTCGACTCCCCGCACCCCGGCTACTGTTGTGGGCTTTATGCGCACGGTTCTGTCTTTCTAAAGAAATGTGAGTAGGACTGACTTCCCCTAATGTGGCGCAATATATCCTTCTATCGCTCCCATAACAGGAAGACTGCGAGACTCGGGCGTAAGCAGCGTTCGCGTACTCAGGATATAGACCGTAGCTGAGTATTTTCCATAGCAGAAAAAATGCACTAAGTCGTCATACAATGGATTCAAATAGGTAAACTGAATAACTTGAAGTTGTCTTTCTTACTGAATCCGTCATGTTTGTTGAAAGAAAAGATCTCCGTTTCCCTTTTTTCTTTTCCAGACGAGTCTGCAACAGGATCTCTGTTATCTTCCTTCTTTTAGGGCACATCGTGACTGTTCCCTTTGGTATGTAGCTCACAGTAAACTAATTAATTGTTCTATGTGTGAATTCTTAAGGAGCCACAATTTATAATTTGTTTCGTGCAGGAAATAATCAGACAACTAACTCCAGTCTTGACTGTACCAACGACTTTGACGAGCTGATGTTGTGTCAGCTGGAGCTACAAAACTGCACTGAGTACAGTTTGACTCTCCAGAGTGAAGACGGGTATGACTGAGATGTTTTTGTTTGTTTTTTAGTCTAATTTTAATATTAAACGGATCACCTATGACATTTAAACCAGCTGCGTCACTTTGAGTGGGTGAGTTTGAGTTTTGTTAATAGCTCTGAACTGTCGACTTAGTGTGCGGAGCAGGGACTGTAACAGCGGGTTGTTTCGGCGGGTTTGTACTTGCTTTGGCTCATTAAGTGGATGCATATTTGGACTGATATGCGGGAGTATTGTTGCTGGTTGTTTGTTGTGTCCTTGCTTGTTTTAGGAGTGCGACTGATCCTCACAGAAATGATCCTAACAAACTGAAAGTGAAGCATGTTATAATGCTGAAGTTAGGTAAATAAAAGTAAATAAAATGATAAATATTAACATTCACGTGAAGAACATATATATTGTACTTCTTGTTAGTGGATTTTGAAGTTAGTATTTGTACACTTCCTTTAGCCGCTCCCTTATTGACATGGGGTCTCCGCAGCAATGTTTGATATTGGAGCTTTTTTTTTTGTTTTGTTTTTCTCGAGATTCATAAGGGGTTGTCTCCTCCCAGAATTTGTTTATTAGGCGAAGGTGTAAACCACCATTTCAACTCCTCTTTTATCTAGTGATCATCTTGGGATTTCAGGGGGAATGCTTTCATTTTCCAGCCGTGGTTTTGTGAGACTCAAACACTGGCTTTTGTAAGCTAGAGCAAATAAAAATGTGGGATGGAGGCATTGGGTGAAAATGCTGTACATAAAAATGTAATATTAGCTTAATCAGCATAAGATGTCATAAATATTTTTTTTATATTTGTTTTAAACATTTTGTATTATTAATTCCCACAGTAAGAAGAATTGCTTTTTACAACAGTGTGGCACTGGACAATGTTGTTGCTCCTTTCAACTGATACTTGTGCTTGGAGAAACTCACACAGCATCTATCTGGAAAGATGGCAACGTCATGGAGTCAAAAGTTTTCAGTGTCACAGAGGGCAGTACGTTGACTTCTTTTAAATTATTTCCCATAACTCTGCATCTGCCAGAAAGACCGGGCGAACAAACATTCACTTTAATGCTCTTGTTTCTGTTTCTGTACAGTAAAACCAAAAACTCCAACAATCAAATCAGTCAATGAACTCGAAGGGAATTTTGAAGTCAAGTGGACGTCAAACATGGAGGGATTTATAAACAATGAAATGACTGCTGTGGTGACTTACTATAAAAATGGAGAAACAGAAAAGGTAGGAACAATGCCACAGTAACTATTTGTTCTGGAGATGTAAACATGGGCAACTGTCAAACTCATTTTTGTTCCTCCATACTAGACAACTGGACATTTCAAACCAGCCACAGTTGATGGACTAAATTACTATGCAATAAAAGGTCAAGACCTGGATCCAAGTTCAGCATATGTGGTCAGCGTGAAAAGCTTCATAAGTCTGAGTGGCAAGTTCAGTGACAGTAGCGAAGAGTGGGAATTTGAAACTGGTAAGTATTGTCTTTATTCAGTTGTAAGACATCAAATTCTGTATTTCTTAACTGTGTTAAGAGACACTAATTATATTTCTATTACACATTCAGCTGAAAAATAATATGAGTTTTAATATTAACTCTCAAACTAACTTTCATGGAAGCCGCTGTCTCCAGAGAAAAGTGGAGATGAGCTCCTTAGATTGTAACATTAAAGCTGAACTACAATGTCCTGTATTCAAATATAAAAGATCATTGAATATCTCAAAAGCAAAGCGATGCATACTTTGCTGTGAAGGTTCAGTTTGTTCATTTGAATTTTTCTCCAAAACAACAGAATTACTATGATGTCATGTCCTTCTGTTTACGTTCCAGAGAGTGCACTCACATTTGTTATTTGCATTAGTGTTAATATGTACTTTCTTCAAACACTTTGAATAATGTGGTTATTGCGTTAAACTTCCTGACTTATGTCACAATACAAATTGAACCCTGTTTTCATTTTTGTTTGAATTGTTGGTCACAAAGGTTTTGTTTATGCTTTTGGAAATAACAAAAAATACAAAAGCTGATTCATACTTTTGTCTGTATACAGTAGTGTTTGCTCATAGTTGTGTATTTTCTGTACAAATAGAAAAAGCATTAAACTTTTTTCAAACGCGTATCTTCACAGCTCGCTCCCCACACTACCTGCTCGTGGTTATCATCATCTGCCTCAGTATTGCTGCCGTCATCTTAAGCGCTGTTATGTGTCGCTGTTATGTCAAGTAGGTTGTGCATATAAAAAGTTTGTTTTTTGTGCCAGTTTCTGCCAGTGCACATTTCTCCTAAATACTAGAACTTCTTTATTTTTTGTTGATTTTTTTTAAACATTTCCTTTTAGGTATAAAAGAAACTGGTGGGATGTAGTTACCAAACCTCCAAATCCAAGCTTTCTTAATATCTATCCAAGCAAGGAACAGGTGAGACATATTTCACACTAGTTAAAAGCTTCTGACTTCAAATGTTACACTCGTGTATTTTGTTAGTAATAATTGTGGGAAATTTTTATGATTTTTTTTTCATTACTTTTTCATTAGTAGCAATTCATTGGATTTATGTTCTGTCCTTAAATAGCAGTTTGGTTGGGACATTTATACTCAGAAGAACAGTGTTATTTCCATCTGCAGTCATTTATATTCTTATTATGGCTCTCTTTGCTGACTTCCTCACCCTTCCGTGTGTTTCACGAGCACAGATCAAACATGAATACATGGGCTGGAGGAGGTTTGCACCAATGGTAGGCAGGCTAAAACATCTTAATTAGTTCACTGAGTATAACATTTTCTGACGGCGCCCTGGACCTTATATTGGATAGTACTTCTCACACAATCTGCCAGGATTACAGCTGATCTTGAATTTATGACCTGCCTAAAGTGACTGTTTTTGTTTTTGTTGTCTGGATTCCGTTCCTGGATTCCAATGCCCATCACAAACAAGAGGGATTCCTAAAAGGCACTTTCAGAAACATACCAAAGTTTGTTCTGAAAGATTTTCCTCCTTCAACTGAAATGTTTAAGACTGTTCATCCCTTTTGTTTAGGTCTTAAAACCTGAGCCATCCATTACTTCCACTATCTGTGTTGAGCCCCTTATACCAGATGACAGTAAACTGGGGTCAGTATTGGCTCTATTGATGCATCAGCATTACAAGATATTTTCTTGAGGATTTTTATCTAGCAGTTTCAGTAATTGTTTCTCTATTCAGGTCGAAGATGTCACTGACAGACACAAGCAGTGGAAGCCTTCAGCAAAGCAGTGGGATCAGCACGGGCTCCTCCGATCTCAGTTATGCGAATGCCGAACCCCCTGAGACTATGAACGAAGAACCTCCTATCACTAAAGCTGTTCATGATGTGCTTTCTAAACTTTTCCTGAATATTAGCCCCATATCACCAGTGACCACCAGTCCCCTTACACAATTAATGAATATGCAAAAAAGCGATTTATGCTCAGCTCCCTACAGTCCGTGTAGTGTCCAAGCTAATGACACCAGTTCAGGATCATCTGTATTTGAAAATAAAACCTATTCCCTCCTAATTCCCGTCTCTGAACATCAGGCCATGACGGGCGACTTGGAGGCACAGGAGAAGGCTGAAATGCTTTGTGTCCCTGATTACCATCCCAGTAAGAGCGACATGGAAATTTGTCCTCATCAGCTGCTACCATCTTGTCAAGTTCCTGCTCAGCAAGATTCTGGTTCATTTCTAAGGCAACCAGACATGCCATATCAATCCTACAAAGCAGATTCTGGGACATTTTCGTATGAAGAAGACACCAGCTTGTCCTCTGTCTCTAGTGGGACTAACGCATCTGATTCTTGTGAATTTTCATCCAGAGCTGAGGCAGAGTTTGAGAGCACTGATGAGGTCATCAGTGGTAAACCAAAGCTAGGTGAAGAGGTCACAATTTGTGATGAAAATCCCTGTTATGGTTGTGTGCCTAAAGGGTCAAACAGCTTTCTTGCAATGGATGATGACTACCAGGCACTTCCAAGTCTGGAGAAGCAACCTGATATTTTGCTTTTAGAGCAAGGAAATGGTGAGTACGAAAAATTATTCAAAAAGACTCCTCAAAGCATCTTAAGTGAAGTCTTTCCAGGTTTTATCCACAATGTCCAGGGCGGGCAGCTCCAAATACCTTTCCCCCCCTTAATGTCTGTTGACCACTCTGTGCCAATAATTACAGATGCTGGCTATCAAGCTGTGTAGCACTGTGACTGTGACCTATGTTTCATTCTTGTACTTGGAAACGGTTTTAAAATTATTGTAACTCAAGAGCCATTTAGTGTCTGTTTTTTGCATTGCATGGGATCTTTACACTGTAAGTCCTGCTTTTACATATAAATGTATACATTTTTCAATATAGAGCATCCACAGGTATTCATTCTGAAAACATTTCAACTGTAAATACTTTCTTTCTGATGTTTTTGATTGAAAATTGTGAAGTATCCATGAAATTTCCACATAAAATGACCGATATCAGATATCAACCTGTAGCCTTAATATTTTCAGTATTTGTTTTCTACAAAGGGATAGGCAAAACAGCTCCTATCACATCATTTATCTACATTCCACATCTGATATTGAACAAAGTGAATTTTCTTTCTTCTTTTTGTTCAGTTTGGTTTGTGTTGCCGTTTGTTTTTAAATGTCATTCTGCATTTCTTTTTGAAAACACATTCCTTAAATGCATAAAGGCTGAGATGACTAAGCTGTATCAAATCTGTCTAAAATGTCAACTCAGTAATCCTCTTGAGCCATTTTAGAGTTTTCATTTAAATCTCAGTTTAAAAGAATAGAAAAGATAGACAATTTGCCCATTAAGTCTAAACCTTTTAAGTAGGAATTACATTGGAAATGGCTGCACTCTCTGACTAAAACAAGCCGCAACACTTATCTGCCCTTCAGGGCTGCTGTTCAGAGTTATGAAATTACTTCCTCATTGCTCTTCTTTGGAACTGTTGATCCGTTTCCACAGAAGCACACGTCATCGCCTTCAGCATGTTGTAGTTGTCAAAATAAAAACATAGTTACTTTTTAATATATGCAACTGAAAGAAACAACTTTATTCTGTATTTGGGTGATGTGAATCTTAATATCACAATTTTCTGTTGTATAAAACAGTTCAAATAAATGTGAATACTTCTGAGTTGTGTTTCCTTCAACGAGACAAAAAGGTTTGAATGATCCACAACAAGCTTTGTCTGCTGTGTGCTTTTGGTATACCAAAGTATAAGATTATATCTTATACATAATTGAATTGACCATAATGCAAAATACAACTGAAAAGTATATACCTTAAGTAGGATACATGTTATTTGTATTTTGGATCCCCATGTAGTAAATATGTGTACTTAAACATGACAGTGGACTAATGTAAACTAGTGTTTATGTGCTACTTAAAATAAAGACATCAAGCATTTATGGTGAGTCAAAGTCGCTATATTCTATACTACATAGTGCGTATATATATGTGTGTGTGTGTGTGTGTGTTCTGTATCCTGTTGCTTCTGTGTGTATGTATATGTGTGTGTCTGTGCTCAGTATTAGTGGTGGGCGCATAGCTTTAAAAGAAATGTTCATGCTTAACTGAACTGTACTGAACATGTACACTAAAAAGTTGAGGCCCTGTTGCAACATGTAAGGGAACGTCACCATTACTACACCATTGCTTGTGCTTCCACCTTGTGGTCTTAACATGAATAGATGCTATCTAGCAACTGTGCTGTGACTTAATAAAGCCAAAATAAAAAATATATTGACACTGACTTTCTGCAGCAGCTGACATATACAAAAATTCACATATCATACAAACATAATATATATTTACCTTTTCCCCCATGTTTATACAAGTTATTTTAAATTAACTGTAAACAACTGGTTAGTAAACCAGCATTTCTGTCTATATTCAAGTATTGGAAAAGGATTAAAAAAACCTGTACAAGCAGCTTTACAACTCTCCTCCCACCTATAACCGCACTATTCCAATTCAACTCCACTCGAAGCAAACAACATGCCGTATACAATATTTTCTGTAACAGGAAGAGCCTGTGTGGTAGACTATTGGAGGAGGAGCGGGATCGTGTTAACTGTGAGTCTTCTGATTGGAAGAACCAGCCAGGTAGGAAGGGTGTCCCAGCATAACCTCTGATTTAATCTGAGCTCCTAAGAAATTTTCTGTTATTGCTGAAACTCCTGCTTTTGTACTGACTACCTTTTCCACTCACCTGAAGCACAGACTGGAGCATGCAACAACAAGGCCGGCTCAGGCTGAGGCCGTGGCTGGAGGAACAGATTCAGTCTGGGAGGTATCCAGGAGTCAGCTGGCTGGACCAGGTAGATCACCTTCTTCCTACACACATATACAAATACAACTGGGGTTTAGAAAGTTTCCTATAGTTAAAATCACAGTAGGTAAACATAATAAGACATTTATTCTTAAATAATCCTAGGAATAATACAACAAATCACAGTTTATTTTCTTTATCATTCAACAGTCAGCACGAATCTTCCAGATCCCATGGAAACATGCTGCTCGCCATGGTTGGAGTATTGAGCGAGATGCTACCCTTTTCAGGAGCTGGGCCATGCATACAGGTAAGAGCAAAACACTGACACTACGTGATTTGTTTCATCTGATTGTTTCTCGGCTCAATTCAGACTGTTTTATTATCCATCTGTTGTACTGATCGCTCTTACTGATCAGAACAAAGTTCTTATGGTACATTTTTTCACTGCACGCTCGTGTTTCGATACAGAGCAGCAAGAACTACAAACAGAAACCACAGGAACATCCCACAAATAACTACCAAAATCAATCCCTGGGACAGAATCTCAGCGCTTTATTCATATCAGCGTTGAACTATACAGATATCTATTTGTTTTTACAGTAAATAGTAATAAAAATGATCATACACATGTCATGAAAGATTATCTTGGTAGGGGTCTATTGTGTCCTGGTATCTTGATAGTTTAAGAGGTGAGCCCTGTCTTCATAACTTCTGGTACAAGTCAGGTCAGGGATCTGTTAGGGAGCTGATATGCTCCCCTAAAAATATACATCTAACAAAAAGATTGGGATAATTACTTTATTCGCAAAAACAAAAACAACAAAGTCATGGGAATGTTCAACACGGAATGTATTTTTTTAGGGTTACATACTTTAGAGAACAGATACAAAGTTTCTAAATGCTACTTAAAGGCACATACAAATGTTTTCCCTGTTGTTGTTGGGGTTTTTGCCAAACGGAATATGAACATTTTGCATTGCAATCATTGTTTTAACGACCCTGATGAGATTTGCCTATAGACCGGTTTCTTCTGTTCTAGAAGTGTTTCCAATGAAGAGCTCCACGGTTGTGTTGCTCAGTCTTTCTAGATCTACCACATTCCTGTTTACTTTCCAGCTAAGTGATGAGAGCTTGACGGCAACTTCAAATAAAACAAGCCTTATCCAATCAAACATAGACATGGTCTCTTTAAGGGTAAATAGTTGGCACTACAAGCTGTTGCAATGACTTTAGGGATGTCAGTTCAGTTCATGTAAGTCCCTTCTGTCGCTCTCCAGTTCCAAACTGAAGCATTCTAATACATGTTATCTTCCCAGATCATTTAACTGACATCTTCTCATGAGTAGTCTGATAACCTTCTTCTAGTAATTTAATACATAACACTGAGTAATTTTCCTCACTCCTTTTAGTGGATCACACAGTTTTCATAATTCACAGAATATAAAACATATATTTTTCATAGTCTTCTATCCCCACATTATTGTTTTGGTCAATGCACAGAGAAGCATAAGTGCATGTGCGCATGTGTTAAACATGTTTCCGTCTTGGGAAAGTTGTGATTTATGACTGCATCTGCATCATGGGAAAGCTCCAGTTCACTTGCTGTGAATGCTCAAAGCGATCGAATTGCTGTCAAAGTACAACATTAAGGCTTAAAAAAAACAAGCTCTAAAAGAGAGACAAAACATATTCATGAACTGTCTGTGTAAAAACACGGTGTGAAATAAATACTAAATTGATTTGAACACAAACCATAAAAAGCTACATGGAGTTAATGTCTTTAATAAAAAAAAGGTCTTTGACATGAGACTTGTGGAAACCTTGATGAATGGGAGGTTTCAGTGGCCGCTGCCTGTGCCCCTTTAATTCCTGTTAGCCCTTGTCTGCTGTAAGTGATCCATAGTGGATCTTAAAGCTCCGGTGATTTTATTACTTTAACAGTTCTTTTCAGAAGGCTGGCTGAGAGCCAAGTTAAACTGTTGTGCTAAATTTGAGAAAGACGACCATAGACTGGATGAAGTCACCTGACAGCAGGGTTAATGATGAATGATGTTAACGATTCACCATTAAGCCTGGTCTGGCACCAGGTGATGGAGAATCTTGGTAACACTTCATGATATGGCCCGCGATTAAAGGTTTAGTTCTTTTGGAATTAAATGGAATTTCAAATGCTTAAACATGGGTACACTAGAATAAAGAGGTAACAGATCAAGGTTTTACAAACAAAGAAACAATTTTACTGTGAGTACATTTAAGTACTGCATAAGTATCTTAATTATTTTGTAACTTTTTAATGATTTAGAGAGGAAAAAAATGTATTTCCCCCCATCTTACACTTGGGTAAGTGGTAAGTGGGAGTGTCTTGCCTATCTTGCCTAACTTAAAGTTATTTTACAATAAAGGAGATTTAAATGCTTGTAAGGGATAACAGTCCTTTTCGCATTTCTATTGGTAAAATAAAGAAGCATTTGAAAAACAGACCATCCATGCACATCAACACAATCAATATTAAATAAAGATGTAGCAAAAATAAGGATGTAAAAATCTTCTTTTTCTATGACTATCTTTAAGTATTTGTAGGTAAATATAATTAAATTGTAATCTTAAATAAAATACATTGAAATTCCAATCCAAACATGGGACTTACGCCCTTAGTGGCATGTTGTGGTAGAAACATGTGTTAAATGTGTGTAATAACACAATTTGGCAAAGCAGAACTAGGGAACAAGTCAAACATTATGCATACACTCGTTCTGATTTGATTACTTGTTGTTTTTTATTGACAGTTGGGCTAGTGTCATTACAAAGAGTTGAAACCAAAGGCTGTGATTTTCAAACTAATCAGTCAACCACTAACTAGTCTCTGAAGATTACCGTGTGGTCCTTTCCTTGGTACTAGTTTAAGGCTTCAGGAATTTTGCAGTGCTTACGTTGATATGTGCTTTGTATTACTTCTTGTTCCCTTTATTCACTTTAATGAGAGGAAACCAAAAAGGGCATAGTGACATAGGTACACTGGTCAAACTACATCAGAATTTCCCTTTAAAAACCTTGTTTTGCTGGCCGCAGCTGTGTTTTTCTTCCCCATTTTTACTATACAAAAAGTACTTTATTCAGCAATCACATAAATAGAGATTGTTACAGTGCACATAAAGTCTATCTATGTACTGACAAGTGACTGAACAGGTTCAGGCAGAAGCAATGCTTATATATGCTTGGCTTACATTTGTTTCAGTATAGCTAACCTACCCTAGAAAAGGAAAAGAAAACAACAAATACAAAATAATTCACTCATAACACTAAAAAATATCTTCGTAAATCATTCTTTTGAAACCCAAAAATGAATTGCAGAATTAGTTCACATTTATGTCAGGATTAGTTCACATTTTTACCCCAACAAGATAAATATAATTGTTATTATCTAATTTCTAGCTTTTTGTACAGTGAAAATATAAATACCTCTCAAATCTTAGACTAAAAAATAATTCTACACAGTCTGAGATGGACTTTGATTTTGTTTTGAACCTAATACGCAACTTTTTAAAGAACCAAATCGTGAAAGCCCACGCTGTGAGATTTTAGAAACAGTGGATTGGTGGGACCATAGTAACTTGGCTTGTTAATAATTAGTATCTAAAGGTACATTTAAAGGTTGATCCCCACAGTTCCACACAATAAAAAAATATTTGAGCATAATTGAGCAATTACCTATATCGGTTATTGCAGGGCCTTATAGTTTACATCCACTGTTTTATACAAAATTGGTAGCATTTTTTTTCTTTATTGCAGTCAGTGTGTTATTTCCACGTTCTTTTGTGTTCAATCAGAAACCAAGAAACTGCTACATGTACTACAATTTCTGTATCAGACTTGTAGTTCATTTTCCTTGTATTTCCTGTTGATTTACAAAATTTAATAAATGGAGTTTCCTTAATTATAAGACACATCTGACTATATTTTAAGGACTTCACACACTCCAAATTGTGATATTACTGTTAAGTATGTTAATAGGTGCAGCCACACCTTTAACCCTATTTAACAGTATAAAGAGTTTGGCTGTAGCTGCCTTCCATTGTTTTCTAGACTATTTTTCAGCCTCTATAATTATGCACACCCATGAGTATGATTATCT